CATTCTCCTTTTCAACTCTTCTCTTCTTTCTGCCCTCCTGCCTTTCAGGGAGGCTGCCCCAGTGCTCCGTGCACCGGGAACGTTCCACTGGAAGGCCGTCCTATTCATGGGCTTTCAGACTAGGTTTCTTAGAACTCCACATTTCCACACGGATGTCTTATGGTTTTAAAAAGATGGGGCGCCTGGGGACACCTGGGTGGCTCAGTGGGTTAAAGCCTCTGCCTTCGGCTCTGGTCATGATCCCAGAGTCCTGGGATCGAGCCCCGCATCGAGCCCGCATCAGCCTCTCTGCTCAGCAGGGAGCCTCCTTCCCTCTCTCTCTCCGTCTGCCTCTGTGCCTACTTGTGATCTCTGTCAAATAAATAAAAATCTTTAAAAAAAAATATATGGGGTGCCTGGGCGGCTCAGTCCATGAAGCATCCGACTCTTGATTTCAGCTCAGGTCATCATCTCAGGGTTGTGGGATCGAGCCCTCTGCTGGGCTCTGCCCTCAGTGGAGTCTGCTTGAGATCCTCTCTCCCTCTCCTTCTGCCCCTCCCCCTGCTCGTGTGCATGCTCTCTCTAAAATAAATAAAATCTTTTAAAAATGAATAAAAATATATTAAAATACGTACATTTCCATTACTTAAAAATATAATAAAGGAAAGAAAGGAGAGAGGAAAACAAACCACAAGAGACTCTTAGTGAGAGAGTTCATGGAGGGAGGTGCTTGGGGATGGGCTAAATGGGTGATGGGTAGTAAGGAGGGCACTTGCTATGATGAGCACTGACTGTCGTATCTAAGTGATGAATCACTGAATTCTACTCAGAAACCAATATTGTACAGTATGTTAACTAAGTAAAATTTGTTTTTTAAAAGATTTTATTTATTTGAGAGAGAGAGAGAGAACACAAGCAGGGGGAACAGGAGAAGAAGAAGCAGACTCCCCACTGAGCAAGACCTTGGAATCATGACCCGAACCAAAGACAGTTAGATGCTTAGCCGACTGAGCCACCCAGGCACCCCCAAAGTAAAAGTTAAATAAAAATAAATAAAAATATACACACACACACACACATTAATTAAATGTGGTGTGTTTCCAATTTTAATGAAACGGAGACCACCCATTCATTGCGTTGCCTCTAAGTTAACCCATTTTAGTGTAGACTTCGAAAACAGAATCTCTGTGCATTTGAACTTCTTATAAATGGGTCATCGATTCAGAAGGCCATGGCTCAGGGACTCTTTCTAAAAATTAGGCTTGGGCAAGCCACCCCTATAAAATTATATATATATATTTTAAAGTCATCTCTACACCCCAGCGTGGGGCTCAAACTCAAGACCCAGAGATCAAGAGTTCCACACTCCCACTGAGCCAGCCAGGCAGGGCCCCCCTACCCTCCACCCCCATAAAATTATACAAGAAGCACAGAACAATCCTCCTTAGATTTGAGTACTGGGATGTATTTGACACGGTGCCATCATAGTAGACAACAAAAATTAAGAGGATATTAAGCAGACAAACTGCAACTGTTATTCCTAAGTGTCATTTCGACATTCTGTGCTCATTAGAGCAGCCTGGACCTCTGAAATTAGAGTATACAGAAATCACAGCACACCATACACAACGGAATGCTAAGTAGCTAGTGAAATGAAGGGTACTTTAAGAAATAACTATCTGTTGGGCACCTGAGTGGTGCCCAGTTAATTAAGAAATAATTAAGTTATTAAGTTAATTAAGAAATAACTATTTGGATTTTTTTTAAATTTATTTGACAGAGAGAAAGAGAGCACAAATAGGCAGAGAGGCAGGCAGAGAGAGAGGGGGAAGCAGGCTCCCTGCTCAGCAGAGAGCCCGTTGTGGGGCTTGATCCCAGGACCCTGAGATCATGACCCGAGCAGAAGGCAGAGGCCCAACCCACTGAGCCACTCAAGCACCCCGAGAAATAACTATTTGTTAAGCACAAAAGCAAAGTGCAGAACGTTTTCCATGGAGATCTCTAAATGCACACGTTCACGAATGGGTACTTACGTATGCGTGGAATTTTTCTTCTTTTTTTTTTTTTAAGATTTTATGTATTTGTCAAAGAGAGAGACACAGAGAGAGCATGAGCAGTGGGGAGCAACAGACAGAGGGAGAAGCAGGCTCCCTGCTGAGCAAGGAGCCCGATGCGGTGCTCAATCCCAGGACCCTGAAATCATGACCTGAGCTGAGCAAGGAGCCAGATGCGGTGCTCAATCCCAGGACCCTGAAATCATGACCTGAGCTGAAGGCAGACACTTAACCGACTGAGCCACCCAGGCACCCCAGACAGAGTTATTTCTGTCGGGGAGAAAAGGCACCCAACTCTCTTGAGATTTTTTTATCAGAGAAAAAAAGCCAATGCTTATCATAAGGGAGATAAATGCTAACAGCAGAACTGAAGGCATCTGGGGGCAGGGCTGTGTTTGGGGGCTGCCCATTTGTAGGACCATTCAAACCCCAAATGCCACCTAAGGGCCCACCCAAGGGCCACCCAGTCTCCTACTTTCTTAGGAACGTAAATCTACCTCCCTCATTTAGGATGGGCCTCTCTAGTCAAGATTATTCCAGTCAATTATCCCTCAAAAAAGCTGCAATCTTTTAGAAATTAAATAAATAAGAAGATTATTCCCATCACGGGAAATTTCTGGTAGTGGCAAGATGTTTAGCCAACATCTATTGCGTAAAACTAATCATCACAGGACTGAGAATGAACTCGGAAGGGCTAATTTTTAGATGATACTTATTTTTGAAAGTTAGAAAAAAGCAAACATAAGAGCATCAGAGAAAATCAGCAGAGATAAGAAAGACCCAAAAAAGACCATTTCTATGTACTGTAAGACATTTATTTTGGTTACAGTTAGTGTTTTAACACTGATTTGTGATACAACAGACGTTAAACTCACTTTCCTTTAAAATCAATGTTAATACCTGCCCCTTTTCTGTCCAGGAAACTCACACTTTCACAGTCAAATTACCCTGAAAGCTGACAGGAGATAAATCAAGCTTCCAACCACTCTGCTCTCTCAAGCGGAGAGGGCCTCTACTTCCAATCAGGATAAAGTCTTAACTTGGTAAGACCAACACTGTTGGCTCTTCAGTGGTTCTTGATACTGCCTTTATGGCAGAAATCTCCTGCGAGGAAAGTGCATATCTTCCTATTTTAAGATCAGTGCTTATTTGGATTAAAACATTAGCATCTTAACATTAACTTGTGACACAAAAGGCACCAACATTCCCTTTCAAACCATCCATCACCATGGGTGGAACACAGCGCCACCTGCTGGTCACCGTATTATTACATACCCTATAATTCCCAGGTGGTGGTAAATTCCAGGTGGGGATTCTCAGAGAACCCTATACAGTGTCAGAGCCAAAGGGACCTTAGAGGTCTTCTAGATGAGTCCCCTTGTTTTGACAGATGGTGGTTTCTGCTCTCCAGATAACTCAGAGTGGCAGAGAAACAGACCAGCCTGTGGAAAGTGTACTGCTTTTAGATTTGAGAAGAAAACCATCTGGTGCTCTAATTTGACCGAGGTGGGGGTCTGCTAGTCAAAGAAAGGGATCAGGTCACGGGGGAGGGTAAGGGCACCCTGAGTTCCTATTCCATCACTTCCCAGGGGTAGAAAGCCGTCCAGAAAGCAACCATGGGCAGCTGGGCACGTGCTGGCTCTTACACCATAGAATTTTATTTTACTCAAAAATTAGGAGCTAAATCTCATGACGTAAAAATAGGGTTTCTGGGACCAAAGACTACCAAGAAATCCCCGTTATCAGCATAAAAGTAAGTGCCCAAGTAAAGGCAGTAATTTTCCCAGTGGCCTTTTCTCCCTCAGGCCCCCACCAAAAAGCCTTCAAGAGGTCCTGATTAAAGGAGCCTGAGTAGCTAGCTGCCCCGTCCCATGGGGAGACCACTGCAGAAGGGCAGGAGGAGGCGCCCTTCCCCCCAGTCCCAGAGCCTCTTCCAGAAGCAGAAGGGAAAGCTCCAACTTAGGGATGCTATGTGCTTCCTGGAGTAAGAGGCACACCTTCTAACCAAATCAGGGACCCAGGCTTCTTGCTTCCTGTTCCTGGAGCGGGGATGGGCTTGTATCAAATCCCTCCCACCCTCTTCCAGACCCCCGCCCCCCCCATGGCACCCCAGCTTGAATGGTTGTACTCCGTCCACAAAACTGGCTCCTAGGCACACCGGCTGGGTCAAGGGCGTATGCCTGGCCCTGGACACTCCGAGGGGGCTCCTTTCTTGATGGGGAGCCTAGTATGGGACAAAAGATTCAGTTTCAGGAAGCAGCAAACCTGAAATCTTGCCTCGGCTCTTCCTCAGAGCTGGGAAGGCCTGGGCGCCCTGCCCTCGGTCAGTCTGAACCCCAGTTCCTTTTTCTTCAAAGGTCACAATACACGAAGAAGCTCTGCCAACTGGATAGGGTTATTGGAAAGATCAAGTTAGATCAAGTGGGATGGTTCTCGGGAAACTGGAAGGTGAGGTACACGGGTTAGAGGATGGCCATTTCACTGAGGTGGGTTTCTGTGGGCGGTCCGGTCTCTGGGAGAGACCACAGCTCCTAGTTTGTTCGATGCGGCTGAGGTCACAGAGGAAAGTGACCGTCCAGACCCCGCGCTCTGGACCTGTGGCGGGAGAGGCCACGACACCTGGGAGTGAGGCCCTGCGGCACCCTGCTTCTCCTCGTCTAGCCCGACGCCCCTGGTCAACTCTGAAAAAGGCACATTCCCCACCTCGACAGGTGAACGCTGCCTGAATTTCCATTTACAACGGAATTTTGAAGACTCGACAAAAGTCCTTGCTTTTTCACTCTGGTAAGACTCCTGCAAATCCTTGCAAGGGATCCTACCACAAATTCAGGTTTCTGGGAGCTTGACACACCCGCCAGAACATCACCCTGCATGGGTCTGGGTCTCAGAAACAATAAGAAAAAGTTAAATTCTGCAAACTTTTCTAAATCTCTGTGTGCAAGGAGCTGGGGGAGGGCAGGTGGGTGGGTATGGCTGAGGACCACCTCTCTGCTGTTGGGGAACCTGAAGACGACAGGAATGCATCCCTTTCCATGGCAACAATCACTCAAAATCCTAACACGACTGTTTTCAAAACAAAACTCCTATATTCTGACACATGTGTGCACATGAGGGACCATCATCCTTATGGATGACTAACGTCATCCTTAAATTAGTCCTTAAAAAAAGGTGGCTCTGGTTTGTTTGTTTGCTCTACCACCAGTAAAGTCTCCAGTTGGAGGCTCCGCTGTGTTTCATTTTGGCCCGGCTGAGTCACTTTTGCTCCAAGGGCTCCGGGATTGTTCTTGGCACCACAGAGCCCTAAGACCCACCTAGAAGTGGGCGGGGTGAAAGCCTGCTCCTCCATCCTCTGGCTGTGTTTCTGAGACACACACTCCCCCTCCACACCCACACACGCACCCTCTAATTGGCCAACTTCCTCCTTCTGTCCTTGGAATAGCAACAGAGACAAAAAGCAGTTGGCATGAGCGGCTCGAGCTCGCCCACACTATAATTCAGGACAAAACCTTTGTAATTCTTCAAATGGTGGGGGTTTTAAATAGGCTGGAACTTCAACACCCTGTTTTCTCAAAAACTAATAATAATAATATAAAATAAAACCATGCCCAAGGCATCACTCTTCTAACAATCCAAGTGACTGAGAGCAGCGGTCCGAGAGAAATATTCCAAAGCAGCGGATTCTGAATGCAAGCCTTCCAAAGATTCTCGCATTCTAGATACTGTGGACTGACTGGAGTCCTCCGGAGGAATGTCTGCCCACCTGACGGCCTCTTTGTTTGGGTATCTTTAATCCTACTGAAATACTTAAAATGCAGTCTCTTCATGGGAATTTCCACCCACTAACAACTGCTGGCCGGGGGGCCAGCTTCAGCCCTCAAAATGCGAGCCTCTGCCTATGAACAGCTGGGATGAGCGGGGAGGAGGCAGGCAGGGTGGGGAGAGGGGGGCCTGTGTTTGCATAGTTCCCTTACAGGGCTCGAGGTGCTGAGGTCCCCACTCAGGAGAGGACCCAGGGTGCATGGTAGGGAGCCGGGGAGGGAGGCAGGGGGCAACAGAGGTCAGGAAGGGCCCCTGGGGGCATCTCGAGCCTTTCACTGCCACAGACCTCCTGCCTTGGGTCATCCAGGAGAAGCATGCATGTCACAGACCTTCCCCCTCTGCGCCCCCACCTCAGGGAGAGGACATCATAAACTACAGGCACAGGACACACCAGGGAGCGACAATGCCTTCTTTAGCAAGCTTGTTTATGTGCTCCCCAGGGGGAAAGTGGCCCAGGGCTGTGTTGGGACAGACTTGTGGGCAAGTGCCTGGTGATGCTGGGAGCAGGGTACACTGTGTTTCCTAAACATGGCGGCTGCGGACACCTCGACCAGGGCCTCCCCGGCCTGCCTCTAGAGAAGAGGCCGAGGGGGTGCCCTAGAGTTTCAACTTCCCCTCCTTGACTAGTTTGTCATTGAGCTGGCACAGCTGGGCCAGGAAACCATCGTTGGGGCCAATCTCACGATTCTGCCTCACGATGCTCAGGGCAGACTTGACGTCCATCTTCTGACGCATCATGAGGTAGGCGATAACTAGGGTTGGGGAGCGGCTGTAACCTTCCCGGCAGTGGACGAGGACCCGGCCTGGAAGAGAAACAGGGGCTCGTGAGCTGGAGCTGGGGGCTGTCTGCACACAGCCTGACTCAAGTCCCAACTCTTCTGGGGGAGCACTGATGAGTACCCAAGACGCCATTGTGCTGTGGGGCGGGGAGATACGTACATAAGCACATCACCCTGGCAAACTGTGGGGCAGTATGTACTCAAGTGGGACACACGCAACCCCTACGGCCCAGCGGGGATGTACACACGTGCCACAAAAGACACGCACCCAAATATTCTGAGGGAGGCGCTGTTCCTAACAGCTGGCAGCTCCCAGAGGCCCATCAATGGCAGGACAGATCGCTAACAAGAAGGAGGGTGCCTGGGCCACCCAAGCGCCCCTGGCTTTGATATTTCAATCAAAACCAAAACACATGGGACACCTGGGTGGCCCAGTTGGTGAAGTATCTGCCTTTGGCTCAGGTCATGATCTCAGGGTCCTGGGATCGAGCCCCAAGTCAGGCTCCCCCACTCAGCAGGGAGTCTCTGTTCTCCCTTTGCTCCTATCCACTCCGCTCATGCTCTCTCTCTCCCTTGATCAAGTAATTAAATAAAATCTTAAAAAAAAAAAAAGAAGAAAACACAGAAATGACCCAAAGGTCCACCAGCAGGTAAACGGACAAACTGGGAAGACTCGTCAGCATTCAACGGGAAAGGCCACACGGATGGAACCCCCAGTGACGACGAACACGGGGCGGGGCTGAGAAAGCGAACCCGCCGTGTCGTTCCATTTATACAAAAGTCTACAAAAAGTACACTCATGTCTGGTGACAGAAAGCAGAGCAGTGGTTGCTTGGGAATGGAAGGCAGAGGGAGCAGACGGGAGAGGTCACTGAGGCGCCTGAGGAATCGCCAGGGGTTGGGGGCACGACAGGCAAGCTCACTGTCGCCCTTGAGGTGCTGGTTTCACAGGTGTATGCATATGTAAAAACGTCAAATCATGGGTTTGAATATATGCGATTTGTTGAATGTCAATTATACCGCAACAAAGCGGTTTCAAAAACATAAAAGGAATATCTGTATCAAATACAAACACAGGGACAGAAAATCAAAACACACAAACAGAAACACCCTCTCACGCCCCCCCTCCCGCCATGGCCCATGAGGCCCGACGCAGTCCGGCCCCCCTTCTGCCATCATCTCCTCCTCTCCCTCTGTCCCTCCAGCCAGCTGGCCTCTCAGCCTGCAAAGCTCTTTTCCCAGGTGTCTGCTCCCCCAGTCCTCTCTACAGGCATAACGCCCTCCCCAGCCCTTCTCCTCCTCCCTGTTCTAGTGCGCCACCCTCCCCGCCGCCCCCCCAACAGGCCGGAAATCTTCTTCACTTGTTTGCTGTCCCCTCCCCTAAAATGGGGAAGCTCCACAAGGCAGGGCTGTCCATCCGTTTTGCTCCCCGCTGTATCCCCAGCACTTGGTGAAAGGAAGCATCAACCAGTCCCACCACATTGCATTTCCACTGGGGGGGTCCCTGGGAGCCCCAAGCCTTGGCTTCTCTCTGCGACCACAGAGCCTTAGTTCACCACCCCTCCCACCACAGAGCCTTAGTTCAGGTCCTCATCACCCTCACCACAGCCCCCTCCACACCTCCAAACCCAGCTCTCCCTCTACCCCCATCACCAGCAACCCACACTCCACCCAGCAGCTGGAAGGGGCTTTCTAAAATTCAAATACAACCTGTCACCCTTTTCAGGGCTTCTAGTCTCTAACGCATGGCTTATAAGGCCAAGTGCCCATGGCCCAGATACCTTCCCATGCTTTTCCCCACCCCTGTGCCTCTGCACATGTCATTCCCTCTACCTGGAATATATTCTCTCTCTTGGCCACCTGGCAAACTTCTACTCATTCCTTAAAACCCCAGTTCAGGGGACGCCTGGGTGGCTCAGTGGGTTAAGCCTCTGCCTTTGACTCAGGTCATGATCTCAGGTTCCTGGGATCCAGCCCTACATCTGGCTCTCTGCTCAGCAGGGAGCCTGCTTCCCCCTCTCTCTCCGCCTGCCTCTCTGCCTACTTGTGATCTCTCTCTCTGTATCAAGTGAAAAAAATAAAATCTTAAAAAAAAAAAAATACCCAGTTCAAATATTTCCTTTGTCAGCACAGGGATTTAGAACCAAAACCTTTGGGGCACCTGAGTGGCTCAGTTGGTTGAGGGTCTGATTTAATTTGGGTTCATGTCTGAGGGTCATGAGACCAAGCCCTGCGCTGAGCCCTCCCCCTACCCCCACCCCGGGGGCACATGTGCACACAACTCTTTCTTTCTCTCTCAAGTAAATAAATAAATACAACTTTTTTTGAGAGAGAGAGAACACTTGAAAGCCGGTGGTGGGCGGGGGAAGTGGCGGGGGAAGAGGAAGGGGACAGAGAGAATGGGAGAGGGGAAGCGGGACTCCTTGCTGAGCTCAGAGCCAGAGGCAGGATTCAATCTCCAGAACCCGAGATCATCATAACCTGAACCGAAACCAAGACTGGGACACTCAATGGACTGAGCTACCCAGCTGCCCCAATAAATAAATCTAAAAAAACAAAAAACAAAAAAGAAGAAAAAGGGGCGCCTGGGTGGCTCAGTGGGTTAAAGCCTCTGCCTTCGGCTCCGGTCATGATCCCAGGGTCCTGGGACAGAGCCCCACATCGGGCTCTCTGCTCAGCAGGGAGCCTGCTTCCTCCTCTCTCTCTGCCTGCTTCTCTGCCTACTTGTGATCTTTATCTGTCAAATAAATAAATAAAATCTTTAAAAAAAAAAAAGGAAAGAAAAGAAAGAAAAAAAAAACCTTGAAGTCATGTGAATGTGGGTTTAAATGTTAACTTGCTGGTTGCGATGGTTACAGGTGTCAACTCAGCCTGTCTATGATGCCCAGCCGTCTGGTCCAGCACTGGTCTAGAAGGTATTTCGTGGATGTAATTAACACCAACTATCAATAACTATCAGTTTCCTTCAGTAAAGGAGACTGCCCTTGATCATGTGGCTGGGCCGCATCCAATCAGTTAAAGATCTTAAGAGCAAAAAGTGAGGTTCGCTGGAGATGAGCTTCTGCCTCGAGGCCGTAATAAAGAAGGCCCGCCCGAGTCTGCAGCCTCCCAGGCCACCCTCCAGATTTCAGACCTGCCAGATCCTACAACCGTGTGAGCCAATTCCTTAAAATAAATAATATCTATTCTTCTCTAGGTTCTATCTTGCTGGCCGGTACACTGCTTATGAACTCTACGACCCACTACCCCCCACACGCCTCCACTTCCTCATCTGTGGTCATAGTACCCATTGCGCAGTGTTGTTGGGGGATTGAAGGAAACGTCCTATAAAGTCCTTAGACCAGCGCCCAGCATACAAACTAACTCCTAGCCAGCAAAAGGAGTTGTCTGGCGGAGCCCAGTACTTTCTAGGACAGCAGCCTGGCTCTGGGTCCCTCCCGGCCACGCACGGATCTACCCTCCTCCACCAGACCGCACGTGCCTTAAGGGCAGACTGTGTGGGGTACTGATTTTTGGATATCCTACAACTTCTAGTATGCACTTGGTGCTCAATAAATGTTGGCTGATTAGCCAAGTGGTTGAGTGTCCACCCATGCTTCTATCCTGCCATTATTTTGAAGGAAATCTGGTGGCCCAGAGTCAAACAGAGTTTCTTCTGTTCCTATCACCCTCTGCTCAAAACATGACTCAATTCTCCCCATGCCTCCCATGCAGGAAGGAGGACCTCGCCCGCCCCTCCCCTGCCCATTCTCTCTCTAGCCAGCATACCCAAAGGGTGTGGAGAGAGGCTTTCCCTGCCCAAGCTGTGGTGAGAGAATCCTTGCGGAGCCACTGCCTCACCACCCGGAACATACTCAGCAGCCCAGGACTCCCAGAGCCGATCAGGAAGGGGAAGGTTCGATTTCCAGCCTTCCAGGCCCCACCCAGACGCCCTTCCTCCCTAGAGGCCTCCCTTGATCCCAACTGGAAGTGACTGCTTCCTCCTCTGGGCACTCCTGGCTCTTCCCACTTCTCCAAAGTGATGGGGGGCTGGCTCCCCCGAGCAATGCAGCCTGTGGGAGGCCGCTGTGTTTCTGTTGGATTCACTTGGCCAGTCAATCTTAGAAGCATTTACACTTGGCTTGACAGCCCATGGAATTCATTTTTGTCACTCCCTCAGTAATTATCTGCAGCGTGTCTGCTATGGCCCCAAAGCTACCTTACGTGCTGGAGGGACAGACAGGAACCCCGTGGATCCAGCCAGAGGGCAGGTCTCACACAAGAGAGTTTGCCAGAAGACAAGGTAGGGAGAGGCAGAGAGAACTTTCCAGACAGCCAACTCAGCCCACGCTGCCTCCCGCTAAGCCGGGAGGTCACAAAAATTCAAGGTCTGTTCCTAGTGGGATGGAAAGGGGAAACAGAGTCGGAAAGCTCTAAGTTTCCCGAGTGGCTGACCAACCCATGTACAAGAAGAGCAAAATCCATCCCCTTAACTGGGACCCTCGTTCCCATCTACATGGGGACTCCGTACAGCCGGAACAGAGGGGGTGACGTACATGAGACCATGAAGGACCACAAAGGGCCTGACAGTAAAGCCTACAGATGCCCCAGGTGATCACACCTCCCTCCTGAGCCCCAGACACACGATAACCAACATCTAGTACATGCTGTTCACTGGGAATCATTCGAAGGGGAGGCTGCTGGGCCCAGGAAGCAGAGACAGGCTGGGAGCAAGGGGACACGGGGCTCACCTCCCCTGCAAAGGTTGCGGGTGGGGGAGGAAGAGGCTGGGAGAGGCAGCTTGAAGGTAAAGGCAGTCCTTGAGAGGAACAAGCTATAAGCAGAAAGGGCAGGTGGCCAGGGCTGGTCAACTGATATCTGCCCTCTGCATTCTAGGGTTTGCCCCCCAGGGACGGCCTGCCTGACTGCCAGTGCCTCAGCAGTTCCCCCTCAGTCGCAGATGTGGGAGCCCCAGGAAGCGTTTAGAAAGTGGCTGGAAGATGTGGCCTATGGGCCATCGCCTGCTGAGCACCAGCCTAAGCCCAGCCATGGCGGCCCCATTCTCCTGGCCAGGCATTCCATGTAAGCCAACTCCAGCCAGTGAGATCTGAGGGGGAACCCCACTGAGGATTTCTGAGGGCCCTTCTACTTGATGTTCATTTTTATTTATTTACTTATTTTTAAGATATTATGTATTTATTTGAGATAGAAAAAGCACAAACCGGGCCAACGAGCCGAGGGAGAGGGTAAAGCAGACTCCCTCTGCCAATCAGGGAGCCTGACATGGGGCTGGATCCCAGGACCCTGGGATCATGACCTGAGGCGAAGGCAGACGCTTAACTGATTAAGCCACCCAGGCACCCTCCTACATGCTCTTTAAGAAAGGGAAGAAACATGGGGACGAGATGGCTGCCTGGTCTTTTGCCGTACTTTGTCCTGCTGGGATGTGGTGACTGGGTCTGCCACCACCATCTTGGGACCATGAGGGGAGAGCCCAGAGGGTAGCAGAGGGAGGGAGGGGGAAGCACCTTGTCCTGACACGGCCACTGAATCAACCAGCCCCAGAGCTCCTTTACCTCAGCACTTCTCATCACAGAAGATAAATTGTTACTGCTGAACCTATTTTGGGGGCACAGCGGGGAGTGGGTAGAAATGAACTCTCAGCCAAAGTCCACTCAAACACCAGGACCCCAAGGCTGCCGCTGTGAGAAACGTTTATACATCTTGGGTAACGTGGGGCCTCTTGACAGAGAGGAAGCCAGTAGCAGGCCTGTTTTCTAGAGAAGTCCGGTCAAAGCTGCCTTGCCTTGTTTCCTGGCCCGCAGGTGCCTTACCATTCTTTTGAGCCAAGGCCTGGTCGATGAAGTCTGCAGCCCTTTCAAAGTAGGCGCTGAGATTGAACTCCTGCGTGTCGTTGGCCTTGATGCCCAGGTAGGTGATGCCGGAGTCCTTGTAGAAGTTGGCATTGGTGTTGACATGCATGAAGGACCTGCCCTCCGCGGCATTCAGCACGTGCGTGATACCTAGTTTCTGCAGCTTGGGGATGTCTTGAGCCACAGACCTGGACAAGAGACAGCGGCAGGGGATGACTCACTCACCAGCTGGCAGCCCAGGGGGAGGAAGATGGAGAAGATTCTAAGTCTCCCGGCAAAGCGAGGAACCCTTGGTGCTCGGCCCCTGCCAGCTTCCCCTCATCTTATGAGCCACCTCCCTCCCTCCAGCCGTATCTAATTACCAGCAGCTTCCCCAAATAGCCGGGGCGGTTTCATGCCCATGTCGTTCCCTCTCTTTGAAATGCCCTTCTCGAGCTTCTCCGTGGACAGACACCCTCTCATTTTTCACCACCCTCTGCAATGTATCCTCATCTCCCCTCCACCCCCAGTGTGGCATCTGGCTTCCTACCCTGTGGTGGGGGGGGTAGCCTAGTGGGCTCAAAATGGGCTCTAGAGCCAGACTGCCTGCGTTTGAATCCAACCCTCAGACCTACCATCCAGGTAACCTTGAGCAAGCCACTTAACCTTCTGGGGACTCAGTTTCCCTGTCTGTCAAATGGGGAGGCTACCCCTTGGGGTGGCCTGTGTTACACGAGTGGTCCTATAGACAGAGCCCAACACTGTAGTCCGTGCTCTTCTAATGCCTAACTGTACTTCTTTGTTCTGAGCCCCTCAAGTGAGTAACCCACTCCACTGCCCAGCACCTGCTATCAGCATCCGGTACTTAGTAGGCGTCAACTGACTACGTAGTGAATCCAAGAAAAAGGAAATCAGCACATCTGAGGCAGCCTCCTTCCTTGGATCATAAAATACGGCAGCCCCTCCAGTCCCCCAGAGGGACCCTTTCTGACACGGAGCACCAGCCACATCTCTGAGGCTCTCCTGGGTGAGTAAGCACTTGGGGACCCAGTGGCGCCAACTCTGGGGGTTATAAAACATTTGATCTCAATAGTCAAAGGGCTCCTTTATGTCATCTCCCAACAACGTCCCAATTCAGACAGCAGTTTATACTTTACAAAATGCCTTCTCTGACAGGAGATCTCGTCTGCCTGAAGCAAGCCCTGGCCTTGAATTCTGGTCCCACTGGACAGCGGAAGGATGAGCTGCGGGCTCACGCAGACAGCCGAGCGGCGAGCTGGGAGAAGGCCCAACGCCAGCCCTGTTCTGTCTCCCCCTCACTCTGCCTGTCATGTTCACATCAACTGCATATCCTGAGTTCTAGAAAATGAGGCTCATACAGGCTCCTCTCTGCCGTGTGAGCCCTGATTTGATTCAGGGGTTCCCAACAGGCAGGGAGCATGAGGCGCTCCATGCTGAGCGCACCCCCTCCCCAAACACACACCCCTGGCCAGGTCAAAGCCAGATTCGTTAATTGGCCAGGGGACGTGTTTTTCTATAGTGGCCATCGGCACGGGCCACTCTGGCTGCCACCAGACATTCACAAGCTCAGTTTCCACTCAGGAAGTGGAGGCAGCTCAATGTGCCCAAGTGCCCTGGAGAGCAGGGTCTCCGAGGGAGCCAAGGCCACTTGCTGCTTCGGTGTCAGGACAGGGCGCTATCCTCAGAACTTTGCAATTTCCTGGGCCCTTTGGCTGAGGCTCTGGGACTGTTTTAGCTGTCCCTGCTCACCAGGCTGCACATGGTTGTAGAGCAGTGATCGATTCTCTGAAGGTGAGCTCCCATTCGCCTCCCTTCTCCATTACACATTCAACAAATGCACCATTACCATTACTATCACCGTGAATGCACACTCAAGTGCCTGACACACAGTAGGTGCTCAATATGGTGAATGAATGGACGGAGTAGATGAGATTGTCCCCCATGACAGTGGGACCTGCTTTAGAGGCCCTATTTAGCCCCACGATGACCCCCATTTTTGTGGCACCCTTTAGCAGGATAAGGAAGCAACAGGTACAGGATAGGGGATACAGACATGAACGAGACATTGACCCTGTCCTCACGGTCCCTCAACCACCCTGTGCCACCATGTCCTCCAGGGTAAAAGGAGAGAGGGGAGTTAATTCTGGGTTTCCAAAATGCAGACCCTGGCCCATACAGCTTAGGGCCTTGGTAAATCAAACCCTATCTGTTAGGCAGGAGAAGGAGCGAGGAAACCCCAGCCCTGCCCTCCGGATCCCTCATCTGGAGTACTTCGATTCCCTGATCTGGTCTGCCCAGCCGGGGAAAGTTCCACGCCCGATTTGTGACGTCAGCCGGTTGCCATGGCAGCGAGGGCAGACATTCCGCGGTGACCTCACTGCAGAACCAGGCAGCTGTCACATGACGCGCGGGCTGGAGACCGGCCGGGTGACAGAGGGCCACCTGTTAGGTGATCACGGTGGCCCGACCCCGCCCAAGGCCGAGCCCCTAGCGGGTGGCGGCTTCGGGCGGACGCCAGGCTGGCCGAGCGCCCCGGAATCCGGGCCCCCCGCGAGGGGGAGGACCGCGCGGGGCCGGGGCGGGGTCTAGCCCCTCCGCCTCCCCCCGCGCGGGGGCGGGCGGCGACTCCAGCCCCTGCCCGGCCCCCACGGTGTTCCCGGAGGTCGACCACGCCCCACAAACCGCCCCCCCCAACCCCGTACGCCCGCGACGCCCCCACCCCGGCTTTCGGGTGGGCGGGGCGCCCCAGCGGCGACTCACGCGTTGCCCACGTAGATCCTGGGGGTGACCTCGTTGCAAGGCTGGCTCGGTAGGCTGTAGCAGCCGCTGCCATCCGACAGCAGGTCGTTGAGATCCTGCACCGAGAGCTCGAACGGGCCCGACATGGCGGCGGCCGGGCCCTGCACGCCCGGGCAGCAGCCTGCGAGGGGAGAGCCGCCGGGTCAGCTGGGCGGGGGCTCCGGAGCCGGGACCCGCCCCGTCCCGCCCCGGAGGCGGGCCCGCCGGGCGCGGGAAAAGGCGGAGCGCGGACCGCCGGCGAGCTCAGCTCCCCGCAGGGAGGCGCGCCGCCGGGGCCCGAGAGGACGCTCCGGGGACCCCGGGCCTGCCCCCCCTGCCGGCGGAGGTGGCGCCACCCCGGTGTTTTAGGGGGTCCTCGGTCCACCCCCAGCTAAGGGCTTTTCTGCATCATTATAAACGGGGAAGTTCTGTAACAACTTTGGATTAAACGCAGAGCGACATTAAATGTTCCAAATGAACGGGGTACGCACAGGTTTAGCTGTTTTTGCAGTTTTAGCGGGACACCCGGATTCCGCTTGTGAGCTGACTCTGCCTGCTGCGGACCAGCGGCATTGACATCCCGGGGAGCTCGTCAGAAACGCGAAGTCTCTGCCCCAGCCCCGCCATGCTGAATGAGAATGTGCATCTTACAGCCCGCCCTCCCGCCCCCCCCGCCGCCTCCCCCCGCGATCCTTACAAAGGTTCAAGTTTGGGAAGTCCAACTCTGAGGCACATTTCTTCCAACATTTATCCAGCTTCAAAGCTTGGACTCTGTGCAACCAGGCTTCGCGTTCTGACCCTGGCAAATCAGCCTCTTTGAGCCTGTTTGTTGGGGGAGGAGAATAAATGGGGATACTAGTAGCACCTAACTCCTAGGGTTGTTTGAAAGATTAAATGTGACACCAAGGAAATCGCCCAGCACTGTATAGTGAGCACCCAGTAGGTTTCTGCCTCTACATCAGCCAATGCCGTGAGCGCCCACTAGGTGCTACTCCACCTGTACTGGCCTGGAAACCATCAGGCTCCTTCGCAGCCCTTCCAGGAGCAGCTACCAGCCCACCATGAGCCGTGATCGCGTTGGCAACCCCTCATTTGCTGAAATCCCACTAAAAGCAGAAGACAGACTCCGTCTTTCCCCAGTGCGGATGGCAGACTCCCGCCCCAAAATGCAAATGTCCCGGGAGTTTAGGAAACCCCCCACCCTAGCCCAGCCGCAACACGAACTTGGTTCTTGAGCAGCCGAGCAGCCTGTTGCTTTGAAGTTCAGATTCTTCATCTGCAAAACGAAGAAATTGCATGAGCTTCTCACTAAGGCCATCTTTCACCTGCCCCCATAAGCTTGGGGTCTCCCACCTCCAGAAGATCCATTGTGGTGGAGACTCCTGAGCTTACAGCTGAAGGTGTGTGAAGGAGCCTGGACTTCTCCATCCCCACCCCCACTTCCCACCGGGAGCCTTCCTGCCCCTCCCAGCACACCACACCTTTTCCCCCTGCTGTTGGGGGCATCCACATGCCAGGCAGGTTCTGAGTCTTGTCCCCCATCTTGATCTGGACCTGTGTTAGCCTTCAAACAGAAGTCCAGGGATAGCCAGGCACGCTCTGTCGCTCCTCTTCCTTCTCCAAGACCTGTCCCTGATGTCATAACGGGGTAACTATGACAGCCTGTCGTGGGGACAGCTAACTACCTCACAGAGGAGCCTGGGTGCCTCATTTCTGAAGTGAGACTAGGAAGAGAAGATGAACAATTCCCTGGATTATCTAGCCTACCCTGTAATCGTCTCTAATCACAGACAGAGCACAACCTTCAGGAAGAAACTGGACTTTGGCCACTATGTATTTCATAAGAATAGAATACAAATAGGTATGTGGACAGTTGGCGGGGGGACATCTGCGATTAGGGGTTCTGGAACGCTTGGCCTCAGAGAGATTGGCAGTAAACCAGACCACTACTGGCTTTGGGATGATATGGCCTTATCAGTTGGCTTGGGTCAAGAGGGCATCGGCATCAGTGACATTTATCTCCCAGCAGGAGTTCAGTGGTTGGAAACGCTCACTTAAACTCTTAAAGCCGGAGTAAGCTAGAAAGAGGCTAGGACTCCAGCTCCCAAAAGGCTAGTCATACTGGGAAAGGACGCAAAGGATATTTATCTCTGTTTTACTTGTTCTGGCCCTCACGTTCTGTTATTTGTGCTACAAACTCTTCAAAGATGTCCGTTTGGGAAATTAAACTAACAGAAAATCCCTAAACTGGAGTAAGGTCAGAATTCAACATCGTCCTGTTTACTAATGGGGGGCAGTTGTCTAGAACGGGAGCGGGTTTTCAAGGCGGCTAGGAGGACCCCTCAGCAGTAACGTGGCTCTCTTTTACCCTCTTAGTGAAGGCGACCGTCGACACAAAACCTCCAATGGCACACACACATCACATTTTGAAACTCAGCAAACTACAGGTATTGGCTCTTACTGTCTGTGGATGTACTTTATTGATTTTTTATCTATGTCCCGAAGAGGTCCGGTTTCCCAGAGCCTCGTAAATACCCTCCTCATCCAGAGATTTGCTAAGACTCCCTGCCCTTTGCGCACCAGCCGTCCCTGCGCGCTCCTCCCAGTCTCCACTGCAGCCCTCGATTTGCCCCTTTCCCACCATCCCAGAGGAGGGTAATGCAGAGTGCCGGGGTGTTGGCTGCTGTCACCACGGAGGGGGGCGCGGTTTCTTACCAGGGTGAACAGAAGCGAATTGACAAAATTGAGTATGAAAACAAACAACTGTGTCAGAAGATTGCAAATGCCCATCGTGGTCCTGCCAAGGTGGATTGCTGGAACGAGTATCTTTCCAAGAGGTAGTGTTCTTTCTCCTCCCCTGTGTTTGGGAAGTCAGTCGACTTTCCCCCTAGTCGGGTTTTAGTGCGAGATTCTCCTGAGCAGGAGGTGTCCTAGAGAGAAGGCATCTTGATGGGAGACCAGGTTAGGGAGAATGAGAACTCTCCAAAACAAGGTCCGAGCTGCACCCAGACCAATAGAGTAGAACATCAGGGTTGAGAACCACTGATAGGAACCTGCCAGTGTTGTGTACAGACCCCAGAGTGTCGTCTAGTTCAACAGGTGTAGGGGGTCTCAGGGCTCAGCGGGAAGCCCTTAGGCAGCCTGGGTTTATGACCTCACGACTTCATCCAAGAGGGGAATTTTTTTCTCCAGCCATCTCAGGATCTTGTGTTTTTCAGCTTAAACAGAGAAACAAGGAACCGGGAACTCGTGAGAATCACCGTGGAAAACCAGGGCATTCTGAAGAGGCTTGGTGATCGCAAACCCTACTATGACCGCAGGTTGTCCGAGATGGACTGGCAGGCACGTGGCTGCTCTGTGCGCCTCCCTTGCGCCTGCACAGTGCATCTGTGTTCAGAGTAGAGTCAGTCTCAGAAGGCATTCCCTAAGCAGCTAAAGGAGAAGTCATGCAAAATGCAGCAACTGGTAAAAGAGAAACCACCCAGAGCAAACAAAGCTAAGGACAGGAGGGGCGCCTGGGTGGCTCAGTGGGTTGAAGCCTCTGCCTTTGGCTCAGGTCATGGTCCCAGGGTCCTGGGATTGGGCCCCACCTCGGGCTGTCTGCTCAGCAGGGAGCCTGCTTCCCCCTCTCTCTGCCTGCCTCTCTGCCTGCTTGAGATCTGTCAAATAAATAAATAAAATCTTTAAAAAAAAAAAAAAAAAGCTAAGGACAGGAGCAAACCATCCAGGAGCTAATCCATTTGCTCCCTGGGTAGCAAAGCTGCCATGTATCAGTTTCAAAAACTATCTAGTGGCATCTTCCCTCAAGCTTTAATTCATTAAAAAAAGAATGTACAAGCAAGGAGGAGGAAGGGTACATGATTCAGTGTGCAGTTGATTTCCTTCATTTAGGAACCAACTTTCAAGAAGGAAAAAAAAAAAGGAAAAAGCCTTCTGTGGTGTTTTTTTTTTCTTTAAAAAAACAACAAACAAACAAACAAACAAAACCCACTCCCTGACTTTTGTCTGTAAGCCTTCTCTAAGCCAGCCTTAGGAGCTAGACCTCCAACTTTAGCCCCAGCCCCGTGGCATTGACAAAAATCTTTCTGATTTTTCTCCTTCAAGAATTCAAGGCGCTATATCAAAAATACAACAAGATATCTTCTCTCCCGAGATGAATAGGTATGTCTTAACATGGCTGCTTCTAACTGGGAAATAACAGTGATCACGTTTGATAGCAAAGCCCTAAGAGCCATACAGATGGAGCACAAGGGACCCAGTTTTAAGGGGATGGATTTTTGCCCTTCTGTAATATAACAGAACTTAGAGCCCTCTGTTTCCTCTCTCCAAAAGAGTAGGAAATGGCTGGCTTTTGTCATCAGCCTTGAGTCTTTCCATGAGTCTAAGGGGAAGTGATTTGTTCCAGTAAAATATAAACAGGAGGTCTCGTGATTTTCATATTGGGCGAAAGTTACATTACAGGTCTCTGTCACTATTCACGTACTATTATGTTAGCATTTTGTATTATTTAACATTATTAGGAATGACTAAGTTGTGTGTGTGTGAGTGAGTGTGTGTTTTGCCCCTGGGGAGAAAGATAAATGGACACTCAGGCTCTCCAAAGTATAGTTCCATATAACTGATGTTTCTCCATTTCTCTCCCTCTTTTCTCCCTGAAAACAGGGTTACTCACCATGGAAAAGATACAAAAGAAAGCCCTAGGATTTCTTAGCTGCTTAGAATTTCAAGACACTCCTAAGTGGCTGAATGCTTAATCTTAGGATGCTACAATAAAGCTTGGAACATAAAATGAGTAAGTTACATTGAAAGTATGTAGCCAAAGGCGTTAAGTCCCATCCCAAAATGGAGACAGAGTCGGGCAGGCAGAAGGCAGGATGCAACAAGCATTTTTATTTGGGGCTATAAAAAGGAGTTTCTATGAGAGCGTAAGAGAGAGAAATACCTTTTTAAAACACACGCCATCGTCAGCATCCTAGAGGGGAGGAAGGTGGGGTAAGATGACCCAGCCCTAAGTACAGCTCTGTCAAAACGGAAAACAGAAGCACGTGATAAGATTAAGGTTCAGACAACACAGAGAACAAATGCCATTAGTCTCTCTGTGAATACACAGCATTGGAAAAGAATGCTTCATTGAAGTTTCCGTGTACTCTGTTCATTTATAGGGAGCAGCAACAGTGAAAGTGTCAAACACATCTCAAAACATAGGCAAGACAACACAGCTTGAGGGTTGTGACTGGTTGTGCTGGGTTTGAGCCTGACATTTTAAACTTTTTATGGAGAGAGGGTAGACCTTAAGTGTTCTCATCACAGATAAACTTTTTATTTTAAAATAATTAGATTCACAGGAAGTTGCAAATAAATGTTCGGGGGTGGGCATGGGGGTGGGGGACTTCTGCACCCTTCACCCAGCCTCCCGCAAAGTTAGCACCTGGTATAACTGTAATATGATATCAAACCAGGAAGCTGACATTGGTGCAATCCATAGAGTGTATACAAATTTCACCAGTTATGCATGCACTGGTGTGTGTGTGTAGCTCTCTGTAGTTTTATCAGATGTGTAGCTTTGGGTAACTAGAGTCACATTCAAGGTACATAGTTGACTGTACCATCATCAAAAGACTTCATGGTACCACCCCCCCTTTATTTTTTTAATTTGACAGACAGAGATCACAAGTAGGCAGAGAGGCAGGCAGAGAGTGGCAGTGGGCGGGGCGGGGGGAGAAGGAAGCAGGCTCCCTGCTGAGCAGAAAGCGGGGATGTGGTGCTGGATCCCAGGACCCTGGGGTCATGACCTGAGCAGAAGGCAGAGGCTTTAACACACTGAGCCACCCAGGCGCCCCATGTACCACCCCTTTTAATGACAGCTCCCCCTTCCTCCCATTCCTAACCCCCGGCAGTCACTAATCTGTTTTCCATCTCTGTAATTATGTTATTTCATGAGTCTTACATAAATGGGATCATGTGGTAAGTATCCATTCTTTTGAGCCTGGCTTTCTTAAATTCCATCTAATTTCCTTGCGATTCATCCAAGTTGTGTACATCAAAAGTTCATTCCATTTTTACTGCTGCGTAGTATCCCATGGCATAAATGTACCAGGTGTTTTGGAACCATTTAACTGTTGGAGGACATTGGGGTAGTTTCTAGCTTTTTTGACTCTTATGAATAAAGCAGCCATGAATATTTGTTACAAGATTCTGCCTGAAAATAAGTTTCATTTCTCTGAGAGAAACACTTGAGAGTATAATCTGGGATGAACCCTTGAGAGTTGTATGGTAAGCCCATTTTATTTTATTTTTAAAGATTTTGTTTATTTATTTGACAGAGAGAGAGATCACAAGTAGGCAGAGAGGCAGGCAGAGAGAGAGGGAGGAAGCAGGCTCCCTGCTGAGCAGAGAGCCCAATGATGGACTCGATCCCAGGACCCTGGGATCATGACCCAAGCCGAAGGCAGAGGCTCAACCCACTGAGCCACCCAGGTGCCCCTGGTAATCCCCTTTTAAAAGGAACCACAAATCTGTTTCCTGAGTGGCTGTACCATTTACATTTCCACAGTGGATGAGTGATTCCATTTCTCCACATCCTCACCAGCATTTGATA